CCCCCCCCCACTGACCCCCGCTGCATCTGTGTTGGTGCATCTCTGTGGGAAAGACGTGTGTGTATGTGATTCTGTAGTCTGTAGTCTGGTGCTCTGTGACCATGTGGAAAAAAAAGACATTTAGAGAAAAAAAAAACAAGATTTAAATCAGTCTGAAATAAAAAAACGACAGCGGCGTTGATAAGTACGAGCTCTGAAGTTGAAATGTTATTTTTTTGTTTTCTGTACATGTGTGTGTGTATCCATGTGAGTGTGTACGAGTGTGTATGTGTGTGTGTCAACGATTTTGCTCCTTCTTTTCTGGACTCCGGTCCACGTCGCTCCATTGTTTTGTACAGAAAAGCTTCAAAAAAAGACGAGGGCAAAATTTGTAAAATACTGTGTCTGTGACTCCTGTAAGATATTTTCAAATTGTTTATTACAGAGAATCAGTTATTAAATAATGTTCATATTTTTCACTTCACTTCAGCGTGTCCTCAGTGATTGTTTTTATTTTATTTTATTTTTTTTTACCCTCCACCAGGAAACCTCCCCCGGTCGTGTTAGGGCAGATCCCGGTAGGTGGAGCCACAGACACAGGTCACAGTTTGGTGAGGAACTCTGTGAGAACCCGGTGCCAGGTGTCGGGGTCGTCCAGGTAACAGGGATGACCGGCGCCCTTCATCACCACTACGCTGTGATTGGTCAGATTGCTCAGGTTACGGCGCGACTCCTCCCCCAGCTGAGCGTCCTGGTCGCCGTAGACGATGAGCGTCGGGACCTGGAGGACGAGGAGACGCAAAATCACCAAATAAGAGTCAAGTTTATTTAGGGGGGGCAGGGGGGGTTGAAGGAGAGGTTTGCAGTACTCCCTGGTACACAGACCTGTACTCTCTGGTACTGCTCTGCCGTGTACTTCTCTGTGCATATGGGAGCCACGGGGACGTAGGCTCGGACCAGGTCCTGGTGCTGGGTGAGGAAGGGGAGGGAGTACATCCCACTGAGGGAGGGGCTGACCACCACCACTGGACTCAGACTCAGCTGATCACAGATCTGCTTCAGGAATCCTGGGGGGGCCAGTTCCCCCACGGCTGCCGGGGCCTCGGCTGATTTGGACCGACCGAGTCCTGGACCAGAGACAGAACCATTACCCACGATTCAACACGGTCGGTGTGAATGTTGGTGTGAATGTTGGTGTGAATGTTGGTGTGAATGGTTGTTTGTCCTTCCATGTGACCAGCCCCCCCACTGACCCCCCCGACCCACCCACCTGGCAGGTCCACGGCCACAGCCCGACACCCGGCTCTGGCCAGAATCTCCAACGTTCCGATGTTGAGCCAGTTCTCGGATGAAAAACGAATTCCGTGAAGAAGTAAAACCGTCATGGTGGCGCCCCCTGCCGCGGGTTGACTTTGTCTGTAGAACAGGGGAGACTTGCAGCCCTCCACCTGGACGCTGCCCTCTGACATCTGAACGGCTGACATCCTGACATCACAGAACAGAACATCACAGAACAGAACATCACAGAACAGAACATCACAGAACAGAACATCACAGAACAGAACATCACAGAACAGAACATCACAGAACAGAACATCACAGAACATCACAGAACAGAACATCACAGAACATCACAGAACAGAACATCACAGAACATCACAGAACACCACAGAACACCACAGAACATCAAAACTTTTTTAAGTTTTAAAGGAACAGAGTAAAAGTTAAATCAACTGTTAAACCCGCGGTACAGCAGCGAATATAAAGTACATGACAATACTGACGGTTAATACAATTAGAAATACATTAAATACAATTAGAAATACAGTAAATATAATTAGAAATACAGTATAAATTCCAATCAACAACGATGTTACTATTCCATGTTGTTCCACTGTCTTTTCGCCTGCAGCAGCTGTGCTTACGTCACGACAACGTGACCACAGCTCCTCGCAGGGTCACTGTTAACGATCCTCATTCAAACGTACTTTTTACCTGACGGTTAACAGAAACGCGTCGATGATCAGTAATCGATCATCGACGTCGATGATCAGTAATCGATAATCGATAATCGGTAGTTGACGTGACGCCGGGACGATCTGCAGAAGCAGCTGTTCTTCTGTTGTAGTTTCACTTTTTTACCCCGGAAAAGAGCAAAGGAAAAGTAAACACATGAAACTTTTCTACTGACCTCTAGCGGTTGTGTGGCGAACTGCGCCTGCCTGTGCACACTAACGTTGCCGTAAGTTCTTCAGTGTTTCTGCCGGACCGTCGCCGTGGACTGACGGTCCTCTGACCGCGTGTCGCTCTTCATTAATCATTGATCCGTGTATCGATCGCCTGTGTTTTGGGGATGAAGACCTCTGTTCCACTTTGGGAGCACAGTGTGTGGGTGTTTGCGGACTTTTTATTCTGTGTTTACCCTGCCTGGGATTTTTTGGTCACGGGGATTTTTTCCACATTTCTCAGATATAACTGTTTTCGACCATTTCGAGCTTCAGGGATCAAATAAAATTCCGTTTCTCCAGAGGATCTCCGTCTGTGGCCGCGGTCTCCACTGATCAATCCACAAACTATGAAACTGCTGCTGTGTTCTGTGTCCTGTGTTCTGCTGACAGCCTCACTGGTCGCTGGTGAGTCGGGGTTTTTACTCTTTGATCTTAAATCTAATTTTCTGTCGTTATAGTTGCAGTAGTAGAAATGTTTAAATTCAAAAATCGGGAATATTAGAGTGAAAGATTCTGTTTGTTTAAGTTCTATTATATTAAATGAACTAATGTTTTTATTTACTGAAAATAACAAGCGTGATGGACAGGTTTGATTTTTTTATTATATATATAAAATAACTTCTACTACTGTTTTTCTAAGGTTGTATTTTCTGTGTTGTGGCGTCACAAACCAGTGACAGCTGGAACGCTGGTCCAAAGGTTATGTGTGTGTAGGACCATGTCCAGGTGATGCCGTTGGTGTCGGACTAACCACAGTTGTGTGTGACCAGGGTACCGCAGTCCCCTGAATGACTTCCAGCGCTCCGAAGGACGAGAACTGGTCCCCACCTCCTGGAACTCACTGAGAGTGTTGACGGTACCGGGCCTGAACCTGGAGGACTGCGCCACCAACTGTTCTCAGTCCCTGGACTGCAGGTACCTGAACTGGTCCACACCAGGATCCAACAGGGAACCAGTTCTGGTCCCTGTCCTGGTCCATTCTACTGCTTTTATCAAGTAAAACGTATCCAAGAATAATGTTTTGAATAATAATAATAATTTGGGAGCCACTGTTGTCGCCCCCTGGTGGTTGATGCTACCTCTGTTCTTCTCTTCGACTCCAACTCTTGTGGATTTTTTCTTTATCATTTTTCTGCTAAAATTGTCTTCATCTGTAGAGCATTCAACTATGAGACGCGTCCGACCGTCACCTGTAAACATCTGCCCTGGGTTCGAGACGGCAACAACGCCGAGGTGAAGAGGAACGTGAACTGTGACCTCTACGAGAAGAAGGGTAAGAAGCAGGTGTGCTCACGGTTCACGATGGAGAAGAATCTGAATTGTCACTGAACCTGACGTTTGATTGGTTATCTCTACTGCGAAGTCTACGTCAGGAAGTGCATTGTGGGTAAAGGGGAAGATTACAGAGGCAAAGTTTTCACCACAAGGAGTGGCCTGACCTGCCAACAGTGGTGGTCAAAGTTCCCCCACGATCACAGGTGAGAATCACGTTGGGATCTAAAGGGTTAATGGTGTTTGGTTTATGTTTTGCCAAAGTGAAACAAATGAAGAAAATATTAATATAAATTGATGTTTGATGTATGTCCCTAAAAGTGGCCCCGAGCCCTACTTTTGTAACCCACTGAACCAGGCCTCAGCAGAAAGACAGGATCCAGATTTTGAGAACCCAAATGGACCAGACTAGATGCTGATAAGGCTGTGGGTCAGAACAGAGATAAACAACAACACAGTAGCCTTTAGCCACCTTTAGCATATTAGCTCTTTTTAGCATTTATAAGAGCTTTCATTCACTTAAATGACTCTTTAACTAAACTATTCTAGAATAATTAAATAAAATTGATTAAATGACGAGCAGAAGACTAAAAGTTTATATGTTTATAACATAAATATAGTCAATGTGTTCCTGTTTGTTAGCTCGTCCTGATGTTTGTCCCTGTTGTGACCCAGGTGGACTCCAACTGCTGCTAATGGGCTGGAGCTGAACTACTGCAGGAATCCAGACGGGGATCGTATCGGTCCGTGGTGTTACACCACAGACCCGGAGCGTCGCTACGAAAGCTGCAACATTCCCCAGTGCAAAGATGGTACGCACCGGTCATACGGCTACGCTAGCTCGGCGTCACGGCTGACACTTCCTGTCACCGATGATTACAGGCAACGTTCTGCTGGAGTTTACCACAGCAGAGTGTTTAACATTATTATAACGAATATTAATGAGTTCAACGCTGCTGTTACTGATTCTTTCTGAACGTCTTTCATTTTAGTCCATTGAATTCTTTTATTTACATTTTGACTTTTTTTTTTCAAATTTCTAACTGTAATTGAACCCTCGTTTCTTTTGTTATAATGACACTGAAATTTTTTTAGAATCGTTGATATATATATTTCCGTCCCTCCTCCGCGGTCACCAGTCTGTTCTGTTCTGTTCTGTGCGTTTGTTTGCAGAGGTCTGCATCAGCTGTAATGGGGAGGACTACAGGGGTCAGGTGGACCACACGGTCAGCGGCAGAGAGTGTCAGCGCTGGGACCAGCAGTATCCGCACCAGCACATTTACCAGCCTGAGAAGTAAATCAGTCCGTGCTCGGTCGGAGCTCCTCACTGTGGTGATGGATGGACTCGATCTTCCTCGTGTTAACATGGAATTACAGCGTGCTCTCGTCCACTTCCAGGTATCCTGATAAGAGCTTGGACGATAATTACTGCCGTAATCCAGACGCCTCCCCCGTGCCCTGGTGCTACACCACCGACCCTGAGGTGGAGAGAGAGAACTGTGAGATCAGCAAGTGCAGTGAGTACCAGGAAAACAGTTCTGTTCTGTCATCAAGTCACAGCACACTTCAAACCACACAACTGGTAACTAGTCACAGGTTTCTGAAAAAAAATTCAGACAGGTTGAAATGATTGAAAGACGGTTAAAAAAAAAAAAAAATATATATATTATATAAATGATAAAACAAGTCACTTTAACGTGTTTTTGTGACAGAATGTCCGACTTCTTTGTTGACTTTTGTTTGTTACGAAAAAAAAAAACCCAGCTCCAAATAATCTGTGTTTTTTTTAGGTGAATGGAGTCGAAGTGTGTGGATTCTCACGGGATTTCAGGGGTTAATGAAGGGTTAATTACATTTTACACTTTTGTGGTTTTAATCACAAATAAAAGCAGTTATTAATGTTACGTTGTTCTATGAATAATTAACAAAAAGTGAAAATGTAATGTTTTATTATTGAATCAATTTCATATTTATTTGGTTTTATTTAATGTTTCAGTTTTTTCTGTGTCTTTTTTACCATCAAAAGAATATTCTATAATTATATACTGGACATATTTACACTGGAAATAATTCACTGGTTCCAGTTTGAACACAACAACGGTTAAAAAATAAATAAATAAAACAAACAATAACAATAACGAACCGTCAACTTCACACCATCATAACCTGAACAGACGTGAAGTCCAACGTTTCTCCATGAACTGTGTGAATTCCACTTCATTCGTTTAAAGTTTGTGAAATGGCACCCTCTTGTGGCGTAACTGCAAGAAAATCATATTCCTGCGGTCAGGCCTCTGAAACAACAGTAATAATAAAAAATAATAATAAATATGAATTTATTAATACATTATTATTGTTACTGTGAATGTGTCTTTATTATAATTAATATTGTTTTTACATTTTAATTATTATCCATTTTTACATCTTTGTGATTCAGTGACACAAATGTGAATTTACTGACCTTGAATTTGGTTCTTCTGCTCAGCTGAAGTCCGGGTGGAGAAACGCCAGCGCTCCAGCTTCACCACCAACTGTTTCCGTGGCCGTGGAGAAGACTACCGCGGTAAGGTCAACGAGACCACGTCGGGGATCCCGTGTCAGCCGTGGGACGCCCAGTACCCTCACGAGCATCCCTTCTACCCCAACACCTACGAATGCAAGTGAGGATTTCAGGTCAAGTCAAGGTCGTGATGTCATCACCAATGAGATCACATGATTATAGAAGCTTGTCTTTTTTCAGAGGTTTGGAGGAGAACTACTGTAGGAACCCAGATGGCTCTGAGGCCCCCTGGTGTTTCACCTCGGTACCTGAGATGAGGACGGCTCTGTGTCTGCAGATCAAACGCTGCGCAGACGACATCGAAGCAGAAGGTGATTTTTACTGTGGTTCACCAATAACTAGTACTAGTATAATTAGTATTACTAGTATTACTAGACATATTAGTGTCATTAAAATAGAGTTGTCTTTTTTACCTTAGTTTGAACAAGGACAGAAACAAACTCTTGTTTAATTTTTAGATTAACCAAAATCTCTGTCTCCCTCCCTGTCTCCCTCCCTGTCTCTCTCTCTGTCTCTCTCCCTGTCTCTCTCTCTGTCTCTCTCCCTGTCTCCCTCCCTGTCTCACCCTTCTCTCAGACTGCTACCAAAAAAATGGAAAAAACTACCGAGGTCAGGTCAGAAAAACCCGTAAAGGGGTCACCTGTCAGAAATGGAACGTCAACACCCCCCATCGGACCAAGTACGTCGATAGATTCCAGAATATTCTACTTGTTTTCGCTCCATCAGACGCCTGTTGACGCTGACCTGTGTACACTGGGTTTTCCAGGATAAATCCCAGGACTCACCCTGAGGCCAACCTGACGGAGAACTACTGCCGTAACCCCGATGGCGACCAACACGGCCCGTGGTGTTACACCACCGACCCAAAGACGGAGTTCGACTACTGTGCCATAAAGCAGTGTGGTACGACGGCGGCCGCAGCTCCTCCTCTCTGTGTCTCCTCTGATACAAACTCTGAGCTTCTCTTGTTTTTCTTGATGTTTCCAAACAGCTGGAGAGAAGGTGACGCTGACGGGCCCCGAAGGTCGGTCTCACCTCAGTCTGAGTCTTTAACTTGTCGACACGCCTGGTCGACCACCGGGTTCAAACTCAGCTCCGTTCTTTTTGTCAACACAGAAAACGTGGAGTTCAACGAGTGCGGGAAGAGAGACGACCGTCTGCCCAGGTCGTGGCTGCGCATCGTGAACGGCATTCCAGGGAACTCACCCTGGACGGTGAGCCTCAGGGACAGGTGAGTGGAGGAGGGAGGGGTCACACTGTCTGTGACCTGATGTCTGTGACCTGACCCTGACCCTGACCCTGACCTTGACCTGGGGCCTCTCTGTGTGCAGGAAGGGCAACCATTTCTGTGGAGGATCCCTGGTCGACGCCCGCTGGGTGATCAGCACCAAACAGTGTTTCTCCTCCTGGTGAATCTGAACCCGCAGTAAAAACCTGTTCAGCTAAAGATACGGACCACTGGTGGCCATCTGTGGGATTACAATCAGGATTTTTAATATCCATTGGTTGTGTGACTACAGTTGATCACACACTGGATTTTTAGGGACCGTGAAAAATGTACAAAAACATCAAAGTTGTTGTGAAGTTGCCCTGAAAATAAATATCCTTTTTTTTTTGTCAGTTATGTGGATTTACCAGGATACTCTGCCATGATGGGAACGCTGTTCCGTGATCCACAGGAAGGAGAACCCGGGGTCCAGACCATCCCTCTGACCAAGATCGTCTGTGGTCCCTCAGAGTCCCAGCTGGTGATGCTGCAGCTGGAATAGTGGGTATCACCCCCGGCCCACCCATCCTCACCCCCACAA